GGATTTTTACCTTACGAACAGAAGCCTAATGGAGATGCAAAGCCAGTGAGTTGAAAGGTTGACAGAGCCTTTACAGATTCAGTACGGGTGCCACATGTCGTTCTTGAGTCTTAACTGTGACACTGCATCTCAAAGATCCACCGGAGATCAAGGCTTCTCCATGGGGGGCACTCATACAATTGCTGCTGGTAATTAGCTCCTGTCTGAAGGACTATGCAGATTAAGTGCCTTGTAACAGGGTGAAAAAGGAAGTTTGGAAAGATGAAATGATCTGCCACAGGTCTTAAAAGAGGTCAGGATGAGAAGGAAAGAAGTCAAGCATCCTGCTTAATGGCCTAGCTCCTCAGGCTAACTCTGCATCACCTCTCCCATTGGCAAAATCAGAGCATACAGCAAACACACAAGAAAGTTACATATCCTGAATTATCAGTCTGAGATAGATCAAGGTCCCTTTATTGCACAAGCTGAGTATTTTCAACAGGACTGTATCAGTACCTCTCCTCCCACTAAGTGCATCCCTACAGCACACTGGAACTACAAAAGCAGACTGCTACTGGTGGTTCCTTTGGTAGCTCTGAGTGCTTACGGTAAGATATCAGCAAAAGTTTCTTCCCACCAGTCAGGGAAACTCCTCTGCTGTGGGGAGTGACTCAGCTGGGACATAGTCCAGAAGGCAACAGGAGATGAGGGGCCCCAATGGCACTTTTCCAGTCTTAATCAGCACTGTCTGCACAGTGATGGAGACTGATAAACTGGCAGAAGTCATTTCTTTCTCTGAGACTTGAAACAGTAGTCCAGAACAGTTGTGATCTTTGTGTGTGTGTATTTTGGGTTTTTAATGCAAAAGTAAGGGCTTTAATTTCCCACGGTGGCCAGCAAACAATTTTGATAGTTCCATGCTAATCTCCTGTAAAATATCCATTTCTCCTCCTCCAACCTTACCCAATTTCCACTCCATCAAGTATTCTTCATTTTCAGCAAATCAGACATGCCTATTTACAATAGCACACTTATCAATGGGGAAGGCTATGACAGAGAGAAACCATGCGTACTGCACAGTGCATAAGACATTTGGGAATCCTTTCTAATAAAAGGGGATTTGATTGAAGAGAGCCAACTACCACAGATCAGCAACTGAATCAGCAGTAAAGAAGAAAGAGTAGCTTAGGCTTAAGAGACTTCATTTTGCTGATCTGCCAAGGATTTCTTAGGCGAAGTCACTCCTTAAGTCACTCCATAACCTACAGGAGGATAGGAGGGGACACGCAAGAAAAATCGGGGTGCTTAGACTTAGTATGGTAGCGTGGCCTTTCAACTAAACTAAGTTAGGAAGAATACTCAGCATGAATGTCTAACTCCTAAAAATTCAGTTTGGGGGTTTTTTTTTATTCTTATGCTTAGAGATGATACTTACATGCTTAAGCACTGTCTTGACAATGGCAACTAGAGGATTCCCCAGTGACTGGATCGTGCTGCTGTGGTGAGTTTGGGCAACAAACCGCTGCGAACTGTGATCTTGCTGCTCCAAAATGCGTGCTGCTCCTGGCTGCACCGGGAAGGCAGTGTGAACCATGCTGTGCTGCCAAGCTCTGTGTGCTTGCATGAGCGATCACTGGCTAGAAGAGTTCCCCCAGCTCCCAAAATCACCTTCAGTAATTTCCACCCAGGGGAGGTGGAGAGAGGTGTAGTGAGCAGTGACCTGATGGAAGTGCTGGCTGTCCGGCTCCTGAACTCAGCTGGCTTGGTCTGCCAACAGTACCAGCTGGCATTTCCAGGGCAAAGAGACAACTTCTGTGGCTCTTACTCCTCTTCCCTCCCCAGGAAACTCCACTCTGCCCATGCTGACTCCAGAATAAAGATGGCTTTATTGAAAACCAGAAATCCAGCAAGTGAAATTGCAGAAGGGAGATGGTTACAGAAAAGATCCCAGAGTGCTGACGGGCCAAGTAAAATGACCTTTCTCTAGCCTGACAGTTCAAATGTAATTATTCCAACAAATTATTTTCATGACTTAATATAACGCCTTGCAGCTTTCTAGCAAGGTTAATTAGATTCCTCAATTCAAAACCTATCTGCTTTTAACCAACTTTTAATATGCTGAAATCCAGTTTTCTAAATTCAAACTAATAAAAGTGATTAGCTGACAGCTATCTGGTATGCTACAATTACCATGGCATTTAGACCTCGGGCAGAGGATATTTAATGCAAATCAGAGTCAACGTCTCTGCCCATTTGTCCTTTTTCTGATTATTTGATCAATGTGCCATATGAATCTTGTACAATCCACGCTACCGTGCTAAATAAATAAAGAACAAAGGCAGAGATACTGGTTGAGACAGTTAACCAAAGTTGAAAGACTCTTTTTTTTCCTCCCACACTTAATTTGTTCTTTCCACATGAACATGAAGCTACTGAAAGGCACTGCCTGACAGCTCAAGTAGATGGGTATTTAGCTCTGACATAGCCAGAATTAGTACAGAACTCCCAGCCTGCCCTGCCATATCAAAAAGCCTCATCCACTGTAACTCCAGAGACCATAATCCCCTGGAAGTAGCTCAGGCTGGAACAAACCTAGAAGGAAGAGGGCAGCCCACCATAAAAAGCAGTTGTGCTCCAGAACTGCTGGGTTTGTTCTATGTTTTTCTTGGTAAGTATATAATTAGTTGTGGCCCTGTCTCCCAAATGGCTGCATGGGGCACAGCGTGCTTAGAGAGCTGAGGAGGGAGTTCAGCCCCGCACACAGTTCTGCACATCAAGAATGCCAAGGCTGGATACAACATCAGAGGTGACCTTCAGTGGCATCGACTCAGTGAAATTAGAAGATCAATCAGGTACATCTTATAATTAAACACCACCTGCCCAAGGTAGGACTAAGGTTGCAGGGCTTCCATCTTCCTGCTTATATCATGCATGATTATTCTATTTTTGATTATGCTACCGCTTATGTAAACAACACTGGCAAAATTTCTGAATGGTCTGGAGCCTCCTTTCCACGTTCTTGTTTCCTGTTGAATTAAGACCTATTGGTATGGCATTGATCTACCCTCCCATCTAACAGCCAAATTGATGACATAACATTGACAGACTTTATGTTTCAACCCTTTGAGCTATGCAGCCCTTTTGGATGAAAAAACTTGGATGTACCACACTCTCAAACACAGCAGAGCTATTTCAGTGGTACAGTATTAGTCTTCAAAACCTGAACATTTCAGCTTCATAAATACTACTGCTAAACAAAACTAAAGCTCCACTTCAGGAAGCAATTTCTAAGCTGTGAGGATAATTAATGACTACCACAGCTTATCAGGGTAGGTGGTTGACTCACCATTGCTTGAAGTCTTTAAGATAAGATTAGATTTTTTTTTTTTTTCAAAGTCATGATTCAGTCATGTTTCTGGAAGAAACCGAGAGTAGGACATTAGGCAGCATAAGGTCCTTTCTGACCTTGGATTCTGTGAATCTCCAAGTTCTTTGTTCACCTGCCTACCTTCTTGGGCTATGAGGAGAACTGGGTGGGCTTTGGTCTATCAACCAGATCCTGCCACTCATAGCTCTGCACTAAGAAAATGATTGTAATCAAATCCCAAGCTTTAGGGCTTCAGCCATCTGCCTGAAGGGAGCGGGAAAAAAGTTTCTTCCTCTTGCCTGCCCATGCTAATGGCTAAATACATTGCGTTTGTTTGGCTGTTGCTTCGCTTTTAAAACATCAGAGAGTGGACAGAAATGGATATGGGCAGAGATGAAGTCAAGTGCAGCAGCACAGAATGCTCTCTGGTTATCCTCCCTTCAGTAGTTCTTGCTCATACCTCAGATCTTGCTAGCCATCAACTCGGACGACTATCAGTGTTTATAGAGAAAACATTTTGGCTGTGAAGGTAGAGACCACAGAAGGTAAAAGGTATTGATGGAGAATGGGGACTGATACCAACCCCAACTAGAAGGGCCATGGTGTTTGATGAGAACATCTTGACCTTCCCACATAATCAGATCTTTGTCAGCAGAAGATTCTTTTTTATTAATGAAACCTTGGTTCCACCTGCTTTCTGATTAAATCAAACCCTGGAAGTTTCTTAAAGCCAGAAATGTTTTGGTTCAAATAAAATACATATCAAATAGACCTAGGGGGCAATCTAAATGATATTTTGAAGAAATTATGAAATTAAGGAAGATGAAGAATGTAAAATCAAAGTCCAATCGCAGTCTTTACAAACTATGGCAGTTTGTTCCCTAAAACCATTATCACTCAAGTCTTTAAGAAATTAAGCATACAGACAAGATGCATCAAATATGCCCAAGGATCTTGACTTTAACAGAGAGTTCAGAGACCCTATCACACATGTTTTATAGAAAGGCAAGATATATATTTTGCACCTACAGATGCCTGAGAAAATTCCATTCTATACCACTTAAATAAGGAAATCAGCTGCTTATCTTTTTCTAGGCAAAGAAAACGACATGGTTATGAGCCAATTAGTTCAGATTTAACTTCCTCGTACTTGTTGGAACCAGTTCTAGGCTAACAGGTCTCCATGTAAAACCAACCTGATTGATTCAAAATGGATTTCCCTTTAATCTGTGCCAGCATATGGAAAATGAAATTCCACGCCTAGGGAGCAGAACACATTTGCACTGTCATGTTTTTTTGCAGCTGCAACAAAAGGGATGGGGTAGGTGGGCAAGAAAGTGCATTGCACCTGAATTCAGCCTGGTAGTCTAGAAGCTGGAGATACATGGTGTGAAAATGAACCAGTTGCTGAAAAATTCAACTTTATAACCAGAAAGACTATGAGCATACAGCAAGTGAGGGTGAGACTTATGCTGAAATTACAGAGGAATTCCTACGGATGATTACACTTCCAGCCCAAGCGTGGAAAGCAAATCCATCAATACAAATGTTACTACATTAAGAGCACAACCGTCAGACCTCCTCGCTACCAAACTTGGTAAATACAGGAAGGGGCTACAGACAGATTGATTCAATGTGGTGTGGCACTGCTCACCAAAGTAGTCATCAGAAGGAGGATTCTCCATGTCATACAGCATTTTCTTGGTAAGATGTTCCAGCTCATCCTCAGGTCTGAAGGCAGGAGTGCTTGATGCAGGTCCAGAGCTTGGATACCCACCCTGAAAAAAAAAGGACAAACAGTCTGTGATGTGGTATAAAAGCATTTGCCTACAGTAAGAGGGTCCATTGGCTGTTCAGTGTTGAACTTCATTCTTTGTTTTATTTTTGGGTTTTTTTTAAATCCCAAGGGATTCACTCAAGTAACCATTTCATTTAATGTAATGAAAATGGACTCCTAAAAACATCCAGTGAAGTGTTATATATCCCCCTAGAATGAGAAGTATTCTGTGCCTCATAATTAGGTGTCTACTGGGTAGCACACAACAACAAATAGAGGAGAAAATTATTCCAAGGATAACTTAATACAAACATTTTCCAACACTGAAAAAGGCTTTGGAAACATTTCAGTTTGGATTTGGCAAAAGCTTCCATCACTTAACAATGCAATATAAAAGATGCTAGAACAATCCTTCCTACAGTGGTGGAGTATATGGACGAAGATAGATAATCCCAAGCTGCTAGTTATGTTCTCCTCTTGTTTGTTTTGACACAAATCCTGCTGTTAACATTAGTGAAAGCACGAGCGGGTCCACAGATTTTTAACATTAGGGATACAAAGGTTTTAATATGTGCTTAGAAACTGAGCCCTCTTGGCCTTCATATGCTAATAGCTGGCACACAGCATTTGCACTCTGTCTCAGTTAGTCTTCTCCCTGGAAAACAGCAGAAGTACAGGCATATTTCGAGAAGCACAGAAATAGCCTCCTGCCTAGAAGTTCCTTAGGAGAAGCTAAGTTTGGTGTCCATAATGAGAAACTCGGTCATTTCAGGATTAAAAAGTGCTGACACCAGCTTCCCTTGTGTACACTGCTTTCTTGAAAGACTTGCATGCAAAAAGTAACTTATTTATGAAATGCTGCGTTTCAGTAAAGCAAGTGATTTCATTGATTAATTGCTGCCTTCATCAAGGATTAGACCTTATGTATAAAACTTACGAGCCTTAGTCTACAAGGAAGCATTTTTCCATGTTCCATGCCTACTGAAATGGGAAAAAGTGTAAAATTACTGGAGAAACAATACAGTGGACACATCTATCTGGCTTATAGATACTACATCTAACATAATGAATCTTTATTGAGCCAGTCATGTTCAACAGAGAACAGTAGCTTTAAAGTACTGCAAGAGAATTAACTAAATTCTTTCACGCTTTTTTGTTTCCGGCAAGATTTCAAATGAGACATCAATCAACGTAGGGAAGGTCTCAGAATGACGCTCAGCAATAATACTTCAATCATTGACTCCCAGAAAACAAATACATGTTCCTGACCTTATCATATGTTTTTTCTAGGGCTCATGCTAAGCTGTACACCACCACCCCTCTTGCTTGCTGACCTGATTTACCTCACAGGCACTGCACCCACAAGCGCAGCAGCACGACTGGCCATGCCCACACAGACCAGCAGTTGCCCCCCTGCCTGCCCGCCAATTGCTTTTTTAACAGAGCAGCAGCAGTGCAAAGCGAGATGGGTGGCATGGTCCCCTGGAAGAAAGGGCACCTGGAATAAGCCCCAGGCTGGATAATTTCCCCGGAGGGCTGTACAAGGTCTACTTGCCGTATGTTCAGCTTTTCTGATTAAGAATATAGATTGAGCCTACCATACATCCAGGTTTTCCAGAGATGTTTTCTTCTTTTCCTCAGCTATTTTTTCTGAGCAATATTCAAGGGTAGTGGGCATTTGTCAGGATTTCTAGATGCCTAGCGGTCCTTCTGAGGAAGCTGTTGAACATCTGGAAATCCTGAACATCTGCACATAGATCAGTAAACTCTATTGTATAAATGCAACCATGCTGATGTGTTTGGGTTACCACAACTTCTTTTTTCATATGGGGAGACGGGCCGGTACGGCGTACAGGCCTTCCATTTGCTTTCTAAGTCCTGTAGGTGCCATCTCTGTGATACATATCATTTTGGTGGGGATAAGGCCATTCCTATGACTAGGAGTTTGAGAGCCAGGTATTAGACCCAGCGCACCCAGATGGCCTTGGCCAGTGCTTTGCGGCTGTTTTTAGAAGGCTAGTTGAAAGCTATTTCATTAAAAATAATAAATAGCATAACTCTAAAAAATAAGGTTTATTAATAAGCCAATTAAAGGTGCCAAATGCAAAGCATTTAATCTTGGAACAGCCTATTTATTCCCCTTTGCTCTCTTGTTTCTAAGAGCTGACCATGAATCTCGCCTGAACATATATTTTAACACAGCAAGTGCAGCCAAGGATTTATTAGCTAAAGAAATCAATCTGGCAACTGAACCTCTTAAAATATTATGCCATCTATGGTTTCCACACAGAAAGGAATGACCATTGCCACCCCATCGACAGAGAGTCCTTCCCTAGAGTTTGCACAGGGAAGACAGCACAGCGTGAGCAGACTGTAGCCCCCATCCCTGTATTTTTCCTGTTAGCAACCCCGAGTACGGCACAAATGTGTGGAAGTGTCACGCTCCACCCCTCCTGCGGGGCTCTGTCCACATATAATCTGAAACACTGCTTTTACCCTTGGGCATTTTAATATAAATGGGCCAAACCAGAAGGCATGAGCTGCTGTCTGTTCAGCAGAAACGGCTGGCGAGATACACGAAGTTGAAGAGATTTGCCCATCGTCACACGCGGGCGCTAAGACAGAACCTGCGAGCCCCATGTCTTCAGCTTTGCTCACAGTGTACCAGGGCCACAGCCAGCGCTGCAGATCCACACCAGCCACTTTCTGACCCAACGGCACAGTGGCTGCAGGCCGTCGCCAGCCAGGCTGCCGCAGGACACCGCGGGCAGGTGTCCGCTCTGCCAGACCAGCTTCCCATTCCTCCCGATCAGGCCCCCCTCATGTCTGCTTCAGTAAGGGCTTGGGCTGCACCATTTAAAATGAAAGACCCAAATCTGTGTTCTCAGTTCTGTCTGACTTTGGTTTTGGAGGCCACGTTGCCTTGTACACACAATAAATTGGCTGCTCTCATTTTTTATCTACGTTGCATTTTTCCAAACCAGGCAGATTTCTTATCCAGTATCCAATGTCAGCAAAAATAAGAAATACCAACCACCATGTTATGCGACGCTTTAACTTATTTTGACTAAAATGCTATGCCTTTTTGACCAATATTTAAGCAGTGCTAGGCATATCTTTTTCCTCCTCGTATGGCACATGCTGACTCTGTGCCTCCAGGAAAATGCATTTCATGCATATGAACACGCTGTTGAGTTTGCTGGGACACGCACGCACACAAACATAGAGAGAAAAGCATATCCTTAGTCCAATCTAAAATGCTTGTTTCAGCAAAACAGTTTCCTTCCTCCTCCTTTGTTAGGTCAGGGTAAAAATATAACTGTGGCTTTCCTTACAAAACAGAGTTGTGTCGCTGTTGTTTATTAAACTTCCTCTGTTTTCTCCTGATCTGTACAATGATCAAGGCTGTCTAGAAATCCAATTTTCTGTCTGATCTACCACAGTTATCTTCATGCATTCTCTTTTCTCCATGATGCTTCAATGCACACAAATATCTACTTCCTTAGCTAGGCACAGAGTTGGGGTCTGCGCTGAGTTGCGACATGGCCTCCTAAATTCCCTGAGCACCACTCTGCCTTGCTAACCACAGCAATATCAGAGGTGATAAACTGAACCATGAAAATAGAAAAGAGCCTTGGTCAGCAAAAGCTCAGCAGGAGGGACCATGCTTTGGGAGAGCAGGAGCACAAGAGTCCAAACCTTTGCTACTGCCATCAAACATGTCACAACTGCAGTCAGAGGTACAGCTACGAATGCAATCATGAATAAACATTGTCCTGCATGCCTAGTTAATGGATGTTTAGGGAAATAGCAACATTTCCAAGGTTAAACCCTGTGGCAGAAAATATCTTCATGCTACAAATGAAAGGAAGTGAGTTAATCGCTTGGGTCACTCTCAAAGTGCTGCAACAACATCTGGCTCATCTTCCTCATTAAAGCTCAGTTCCTAAAAAGCCAGGTCAAAAGAAGCAGTTTTGTGGAATCACTGCATAATTATTTTGGTACATGAAGTTCATACTTGTTTCAGTGCTTCTCTGGCACGTGCTTTCTACTCCAGACCTCACTACTTGTAATCAGCTGTCTCTGATGTAATGGCTGCCTAGAAAAGGGAGCTCTGCAGTTAGTGCATTGCATTCATCAACATGAACCTACCCCATCCACAGATAAAGTTTATCCAGGAATGCGTAAAAAACACAGCGCAAAATTTGCAAGGACGTCTGGAGATGATGCTGTGATGCACCATCGTTCAGAGTGCACTGTATGTGGTCATTTTTCTCGTCCATTTGCAAACGTTGTAGAAGGAACTTCTTCTCTGAGAGAAAATAACTTCAATTATGTGTTCCCAATTACAGAAACGTGGAAATTATCTTCTTTTCAGAAGGTAGAATTAGCCCAATTTGGAATTGAAAGGCAGCCAGAAACATCTTTCACTGATACTTACTTTCCCTTTCATTTTTTTTCTTCTTGTTCATCTGAATAAAGTTAGCACTTTCCTTTCACTTCACTCACCAAAACCGATCATCAGTTAAATAAACAGTCAAATAGCATCACAGCACATTTTTTATTCAATGGCCTGATGAAGACCATACTTTTTCATTTTAAGTTATTGACTGTCCAAAAACAATTGCAAACTTCCAGACCAAAAAAATTCAGCATGGTGTCACATCTTTCACGAGTTCCCAAAGAAATATCAAGATTGCCTGCAGCTGTAATTCAGTTTATAATTAAGGTCAACTGATCTCTCTTATAGAGGAGATACACTGGAATAAAAAAATTTTAATTCTTGATTTATTTTCCCAGTGAAAAATTACAGCTGCCAGAGCACCTACAGATTCCTGAAAAGACAATTCTGCCTAGATTCCCTGCGACATGCACATCCTAGGTTTACTCATGGTCAGATAATAATTCACTGAGATCATTTGAAGAAGCTGCCCGGCACGAGGAGGTCCCCACTGACAACAAGTGACCTCCTGCTCACATTGGCAGCCCGAAACCACAAGTTTTTGGGCAGGCAGGAGCGAGGTCTCCTTTGGGATGTGTCGGAGAGGGACAAGCCACTGGTTCCCTTGCTGCCTACCTGCCCTGCCACCGCTTCCCACCGCAAACCAGCAATCCAGAACAGGCAGGTCTGGCAGCAGAGACCTCATTTGTTAAACACTGGCTTGCTTTGAAATAGGACAGTTCTGCAACTACTTCAAAGCTCTTGGGTATATTTTTCTTTATTTCTAAACTTCATTTGTGTAACTGTATCCTCACTTAGTTATCCATGCACATTCCCAGCCCTATTCTAATCCTGCTAAGCTCTTAGTTTCAACGGTCTCTTGCAACAGTAAATTACACAGAATTTGAGCAATAACAATAATAGTAATAATAAAAAAAATTTCTCTGTTTTAACTTCACAGTCTGCAATTTTGCCCAAACAGCTCTTTTTCGTACACTGTGAAACAGGGATGCAGACAGGTGGAAGAGGAGGTATCTTGTCTGATAGTTTTAAAAGGAAGACAACAGAGCCAGAATGCAAAATCATTAAATAGCTGAGAAATTCCCAGGACTTTTGAAAATCAGGCTGCTCATACAAGATGCCTGTTTCGACCCTCTGGAGCCCAGCTTTTGGCTTATAATAATAAAAATAAAATCTTGTTCTCTGTGTATTGATACCGAATTCAATAGGATCACCATACATGCACCCTAATTACTCTGTAAAATGGGTTTAACAATATTTCTCTCTTAATTAATCAGTGCCTGCAAAGCTCTCCAAGCTTCTGTGATGTGACTACACAGTGACAGTGTTTTATTAATCACCAAGCACCATAATAAATAAGTATGACTATTTTGTCCTTGGTTTGTTTGTATTCTATTATACACAAAACAGACTAAGTAGCTTTTCTTGCTATTCTTCACGTTCTCACTAATGTTTTAATTCTGGAAGTGCTGGTTATTTTTGCTAGGTATTACGAAAGTTGGATAATCTGTAAACACCGCGATCTGCTGCTTGCCTCCACATTGAGCACGACTGTTAGCTTCCACGCCTGTTATGGGGAGTTGTTGTTTCTGCCAGGCACTGTCGTTTGTTGATGTATTCAGGGTTAACAGGAGACAAGCTAGATTTTTATGGAGCAACGCTGGCCATTTCTCATTAGAAAAAGCAAACCAAACAGATCTCCAAGTAATAAATATTCAGCATGTTATCTCAGGGAACAGTAGATTTAAACTGTATTTCAAATAAGCCCACCTATAAAACACTACATTTAAAAGTCCCATTGCTCCTTAAATGTATATACAGAAACAAGTGCAGCAGTGCCTGATCTTGCCTGGGGCCTCTTGGCCCTATCATTACACAAATATACTTTACTTGTCAAGGCTTATCTCATATGAAAAGGGGAGCAGGTTGTTCTGTTTTGTTTTCCTATTAACGCCACTTACTTTGGTAACAGACATTTTAGGCACTTTAAGAAAAAAGCCATGAACTCAAGGCACAAGCTGGATAGTACTACTGAGAGGAAGAATGAGGCATCCCCACTGTACCAATGCATGAATAAAGAGATTGCATCATTTTAGCCCTACGTTTTTGGCTGGAAGAGCTTGGGCTGCTTCATAAAATTACATCAGCAGGTCCTATGCTTACTTGTCTATTAGTTTCAAGGTTGAAAGCTCTATTCTGTTCTAAGCTCCTTTCCTTTCCACATCTCTCTGGGCTCAGAGTCAAGCACTCTCTTACTTCATGCATCATCACCAGCAGTAAAGACCCTATAGGCTGCTTATCAACTCCCCTCCTCTTTATGTCATAATACTGTAGGCTTCCAGGGCTGCCTTCAAAGCATTAATTAATTAAGCATTAGATTTATTGATATCAGTAGGTCAAAACCCGCATTTCAGAGTAGGAGCCGTAAGCATCCATAGGAGATGACAATCTCAAAACCTCAGTCCTGAGCTATGTAGGGAAGTGCTAGAGACGAGTTTGAATTTGCTTCTTGTCATCTTGGCTATACATCTTGGGGTACAAACTGACATCCAGGGCTTCGTGCCTGGGCAGATGATGAGCCTCAACACCTGTACAGAGCTTCCGCGCGTAAAACTCAGGTAGTATTCCTGAAAGACATAGAGGTGTGAGGAACTCTGGTCACAGCGAGTGGCACTCCAAAGCGAGGCTGATGATCTCCCCACCAACTGAGCTGCATCCTCAATCTTACTGCACAAGCACAGGGGCACACCTAGCGAAAAATGCTCCAAAGTTCATACCGACGGAAAGAGATGTGTTTGCTCATACAGTATGCACCTAGCCCAGGCAACTCATCGCCACAATAAAACCACTGAAAAACATACTCTTTGTCCAAAACCCACCCTTCCAGAAGTAGCCCTAAAACCCAAGGAAATAACCGAGCTTCATCCTTTTTTAAGTTTTCCCTTTGCAAAACACTTCACAAAGGCCGAGCTCAACCAGAGGATGAAAAACAACACCGCGCACCAGGCTGACACACACCTCCGGAGCGCTGCCTTCTCTGGCGGACCACGGCGACGAGGGAGCTCACCGCCATTCACCCCCGGGGTCCGGCTGGGTGTTTGTGCAGTGAGCACCACCTGTCCTGCGGTTCAGGTTCGTCGGCTATTGAAAAAATAGGCTGCCCCAGCTGCAGTGCCTTATCAGGTAATAAAAACAGAAGTGCTGGGGCACCACTTGTTTCAAAAGAAAAATAAATCTCATCATTTTAATGGTACTAATTTTGCATGTGAAACTTGCATTCATACTGTATTAACAGTTTAAATATAGCTTTCTTGCCAGATGCCTGAATATGCTAGAAAAGATACTTAAAATATGCAAATTGGGTTTCTGTTTTAATACACAAAGAAACTTAAAATCACATCACTTTCCATTACCAAGACAGGTTTCAATCTAAGCTTTTTTCATGTGAAAACTATAACAGCAATCAAATGGTTAACCAAATGTGTTTAACCCACTATCTGTAGTCTCACTTTTAGTCAACTGTGACATGGGCCATTACACTTCCCAGGACACCAGTGACTTAAATGAAGACTACATATTTTGCTTAACATTAAAAGATTATAAATATAAATTACAGCTAGAAAAAAGCTTCTCAGGCTGAAGTGGATGCTTGGTTCAGCATCCACAAGATTGGAGGGCAGGATTCCTGAGTATTACCCTCAGCAATATTCTTAACCAGTCTGATCCTGCACCCTGCTGTTATAAATGGTGTTCATAATGGTTGGCTGTCTCAAGAGAGTTTGAGAGTCTCAATGAACTTCTGATTACAAAATTCTTTGAGATCCTTGAATGAAATATGCTGAATGAGTACAAATTATGACTACTATTAATTATCTTTAGTAGCCAAGATTGTGCCTCCTTCCACTCACATGTGCCTACGTTTGTCTTTTAAGATTGTAACATCTTCAAAACAAACACTGGTCTCCCAACATGCCCCTCAGTGGTCTTGTATAAATAAGAGTGATAAGAATATTAGCAAAAACAATAGTGTGGCAAAA